CGAGAGAGCGACAGATGAGAAATACACAAAAATACCCACATTGTTACGAGTCTCTGCCACTTTTATCTCCTCTTTCAGGATATCAACATGACTTTCGTCATCCTCATTGTCTTCCTCAGGCTTATTTACCAGACGTGGTCCAGATGCTGCAGGCTGAGCAGGGCTGGAAGGAGGGTGAGTGGAGGGCTCCTTGCTGATTGTCTCCCATTTACTTTAATGGGCCATAGAACAAAACAGGAAAATCATTCAATTAATCAACCAATCAATCAATTTAGTAAAATTGCTTTTAGAAACTGTAAAAAGCCCCACTTTTAAACAGTACTATAAAATAGAGATTGAAATTGAACATAATGATTTTAATGCTTTTTTTTTACCATTTTCTGTATTAGCATTAGTTTACTTATTGAATATATATTATTCCAGTGGACAGTTTGGACAGCCAACCAATATGACACACAGAGCTCAAACAGAAAGTTTCCTAGTCTAGTCTGGACGCGTAAAAAAGTGATCCGCCCTTATCTAGATAGTCTTCAGTAGAAGAACATTAAAAGCATTTGTGCATTGTCGTTAGAATGGTTAAAGTTTTCCAGTTTGTTTACCATTTTATTCTATGCATAATTATATAACATGTATTTCAGCAAGACAAAGAATGTTGATATTAAGGACTAGAACAAGGCTGCTAGTTGCAGTCAATGTGTTCCGCAGAATTCCTCTAGATGGTGCTGTGTTGTTGTTCCATTCACCTTGACCACTTGTGATGCAGGTGTGTCAGTGGTGAGCGCTCCTGATTGAATCTGTCACTGTGGGTGTTAGTGCTTACTCGTGACTCTGGGTTGCTCTCTTGCCTGGACCAGATTTCTCCAGTGGTGCAGCAGGTGAAGAGCCATAGACACAGGTTCTGAGTGCATCTGCACAAATTAAATGAACAGAAATGAAGAGATTTGCAGTGAATATATTTTTGTATTTTGAGTTGCCAGTCATTGCTTTTTTACCCTTGGCAACCATCCTGAAGGTGAGGATCGGTTCACTGGTACTTTTATAAAAATTATATAAGGTGGGGTCCAAAAGTCCATCACTCATCACTACTAGTCTTGGTGAAACATGGCCCTCATATATGCATTTGTACACAATCGTTTAAGCCAGCCCTGGTCAAATTACATGTTTTGTAATTTGTTTGATTTGTTGAAGTGAATATAAGTTAACACATCCTCTAAGGAAAACACACTTGAGCACTTTTAATGCACAACTGCTGTTTATTTGCTGAATTTAATACATTGGGGGAAAAACATAAAATATGGCTTGTGCAAAAGCTATGGCACATATTATGTAGTATATTTCATGCTTCTCAGCAAAATAAATAGAAATTGCAGATAAATGTTCCTGTAGGGAATGTGTTTTATGTCATTTGATCAGGGGTGTTCAAACATTTGCTTATAATTGTATACATGTATACATTATATGACCAGGAGTATTTGACCACATCACACCTATATGAGCTTGCTGGAGATCCTATTCCAAAAACATGGACATTCATACAGAGTTGCCCCCTTTGCGGCTATAACAACCTCTACTCTTCTAGGAAGGTCTTTCCGCAAGATTACGGAGGCGTCTGTGTTAATTTGTGCCCATTCGATAAAAAGAGCATCTGTGAGGTCAGACACTGATGTTGGACGAGAAGGTCCGGCTTGCAATTGACGTTCCAATTCATCTCAAAGGTGTCAGTGGGGTTGAGGTCAGGGCTCTGAGCAGGGCCACTGGAGTTCCTCCATACCAAACTTGTCAAACCATGTCTTTATGGAGCCCCCTTTGTGCACAGGGGCTCAGTCATGCTGGAACAGGAAAAGGCCCTCCCCAAACTGTTGTGACAAAGATGGAAGCATATAAATGTCTAAAATGTCTTTGTACGCTGTAACATTAACAATCACCATTCAGTGGAACTAAAGGGCCCAAACCCTGAAAAACAGCCACAGCTTATTATCCTTCCTCCACTAAACTTTACTGTTGGCACTATGCATTCTGGTAGTAAGTGTTCTCCTGGAATCCGCCAAACCCATATGGAACACACCGCCAGGTGGTGAAATGTGATTCTTCACTCCAGACAATACATTTCTACTGCTCCAGAGTCCAGCAGCAGCGTGTTTTACACCATGCCACCCATTTTATCATTTTATTTATGTGAGGTTCTTTAAACTTTATAAAGGTTCTTCACACTCATACATCTCAATTACAATTACATTCTTTAAAGAGCCATCCAATGAAAAGCCAAACATGGTCCTTCTCTGGCATTAATCCAAAGACCCCTCCTTGGCACCTTTATTTTTAAGTGTGTTTTTCTTGCTGTTGGCGCAAGCAGGAAATGCACCCGATACACCTCCAGACCCAGTGTCCATTCTCAGACAAAGAGTCTGACATCATCCTGGAAATGTGGAGCCCAGCTGGTCAGCTTCAGAGGGACAGAGAGCTGAGATAAGAAAAGATCCCGAATGTGATCAGGCCCACAATCATGTATGAGGTGATGACAGGAGCAGAAAAGACTCCCAAATGTTAATGATGCGCAGGAAATGAGAATGGAGCCGCAGTTCGTAAACATGGCGTTCAAATTAAGAAGAAGTAAACAGACATCCGCTTTACTGCTTTGAAAAGCTTAGACTGAGTGAGGCGATGTCCAGTCCTGGAGGTCCACAGCATTGTACACATTTGTGTTTACTCTAATTTTAATGCACCTAATTCAATTGTTGCCCTTCTTGCTCCAAATTACAGCAGTGAAGCACTAAAACTCTTCCGTGCTGTGGTCGTCCATGACTCCCATGACGCCTCTGGTTTTGTGTGAGCAAAATACTGACTTTTTAAAGTATTTTACATTTAAATGCCATATACTGCTTAACCTTTTACTCTTTAAATCACAAACTTTATTTATAGAGCAGTTTAGAGTTTTTTTTTACAAAGAAAATAATTCAATAATAGCAATAAAAAGAAAATAAAGTAAAGCAATACAAAAAAGATTAAAAGTATTAATTAAAATAAGCATACAATAAATAAATAAGATAAAAACAAGGTAGAACCTTAATTAAACACCAAATTCAATTGTTTCATAACTGCATGTACCAAGCTTGATGGCTTAATTTAAGGGGGAATTAAGGAGCATATAAATAAAAAGATTTCTCCACTTTTTTCTGTCTTTTATCTTTTTTACATGAGGTATTTGGTAAAAGCTAGTTAGGAGATTAATGTTATTAACATTCATGCCAGTCTCCACAAAATGTGTTTTTCGCTCATACTTTCACACTTGACAGAGAACAATGTAAACTTAGCTGGATTTTACACATGATTCTGTGTAATTGCAGATATGTCTAGGGAGAGGAACTGACCCTCCATAATGCCTTCCAGGATTGTCAGTTGCTAGAGGACGCTCCCGAGAGAGTCCAAAAGGAAAGGTTCCTATGAAACTTTTGTGCAAAATCGTAGTTTGTAAACACATAATGATTTTTCTTTTTCACAACACTGAATAGTATAAAATAAAAAGTGCACTTTTGAACAGTTATGAGACTTTCTAGAAGTGCCTCATGTACAACAGCGACCGACTTTATGTACAATCATGATATCAGTGAGTGCAAACCGCTTAACCAATGAGTTGATAAGATTTCATTGATTTTTTTTTTTCTTTTCTTCTCATTTTTAGTCATTTAGATTCATTCACTCCCAATCATGGGCACCCTCTTGTGTTTTGCATCCCTTTTTGGTACAATAGGAAGTGGCCAGGCTCACCATAAACTGACAGTTTTGTTGACTATTTACGTCAAGTATTTGGTAGCACCATTAACCCTGCAGCTCCTGTTTGAAACTAAAGAAGCAAAATTTGAACACTAAATATATTTTGGCTGATCAAATGTTTTCGGTATGAGTGGAAAATCATGTAGATTTTTCTTTTAATAATGAATATAAAACTCTTTTTCCCCATTCAGATTTTGTTCATTGTTGTGTTGAGTGTTGTACAGTTCTGGTTGTTCCAAAATGGCCATAGCTAGCTGTTCCTCCATGTTGGATTAGTGACTAAAGTGGGGCATCCTCAATATTGACTGGTTAGCTGTGGATGACGTATGGTGCTGTTTTGTGGGCACTCAGCAGAACTTAAACATGCTGTTTAAAAAATGCAAAAGCGTAATAATTTAAATGCCTTGCAGCATCATTAATAAACACAAGCAACAAACAATCGTGAGGCCACACAGTGACTGGGATGGGCACGCCTTCCTGTCAACTTCCTGCGTAATGATAAAGTATTTTTCACTACTCTCTATGCAGTTGGAAGTTCCTTTGAATATTTTTACTGCAAGTTTCTGTGTGTGAAATACTCCCTGGTATTTGTGGGTCCCATGTTGGCTGGTTACTCCATGTTGGCTGACTGCTAACTCATTAGCCATAGCAGCACTGATGCTAGCTTCAATATTATTATAATATGCTATGGCATATTGTAAAGTTAGAGGTATCATAGTTACAGTTGCTAGGCTACTGGGTGACTCAATTTGCTACAGCACCACCCTGAGGCAGACCACTGCTGCATCTCTAGCAGATTAAATAATGACCTTTGCCTGAGTTTGTATTTGAGAGTTTATTTTTCAGCATAACTTCATAATAAGTTTATTTTCAGGGACCACCAGAACTTTGATTTTGAGACATTCAGAGGGAGATCCTGGACCCCCCAGGAGACCCTGTATTTTGCACCGTGCCCAGTTTAAAATCTCACTTAAAATGTCGAAATACCCTGTGGAGTGTACTATGAAGGAAAGTACCCAAAGGAGGAATCACACAAGAACGTTCTCGGTCGCTCCGTGAATCAGTAAACCTCTTACTCCCCTCTCACAAAAGCCCCGCCCCTCTCCGTCCATGCCCCGCCCCTTTTTAATAGTACGCGCTCTCTTTCTCCCGCGTACACACACCTACACACACCTACACACATACACACACGCACGCAGCGCGATGAAGAGCAGCGCCGAGCCGTCGCCATGCGCACCGGGCTGCCGAGGACCGCCTGCTGCCTGCTGCCGCTTACCGTCGCCCTCTGCGCGCTGCTCTCGCACGCAGCAGCCTACTTCGGGTCAGTAGCGGGGTTGGAATGGGGGTTTTGCGCCCTGGTCGCTTTAATTCGCTTTTGGGGTTTTGATTCTGGACATCGTTACGCGCGGGGACCCGGGACGCTCTGCGCGTAATTACGCATGAGCCTCTCTGCAGTTCTCTCCACGCTTAACGACTTGTCCCGAATCCAAACAGGGTTTCAAACTCAGACTGCGATCTTCACACTACTAATGTGTTTAAAACGTCTGTTATTTGGTTGTTATTGTGTTTTAGGCGGCTTATCTCCACAGAAATGTGTCCTGTGGTGACAGCGCGTGTCATTGCTCAGAGCTTGGGATGAATTTAGCTGCCCGGAGTTTGCATTTAGCCAAAAATGCTGTTTTTTTCTGCCTTGAAGAGAGGGAAGTGTAGCAGGCTCTTCCCAGATGTTCCCTGGGCTGGTTTTTGGCAGCGCTACCTTATCATTAAGCTCTTACTCTGGCTGCCCTTCACAGAACATTACTGCCTAGATTAATGTGTGCTTTAGTATTTTCCTGCGTCAGTAATGCTAAGATATTGATATTTTACTCAATATTTTTAGAAACACCACCACTCAGGAATGCGAGTCCAAAAGGGCAGAGGAGAAACGTTTTATAAATTCGTGTGGACGAGTTTTGGTCAGTCATATCTTCATTATGGTCATTATTAGAATGGAACATTTGCTGTCTGTTAAGGAAATTAGCCATCGCTGCTGTGTAAACTGCAGTGTCTTGCTTCTCTCTTATTCTGGAAGAACATATGAAGCCCTTTTCCTTCCAGTGGAAGGAACCCAAGCAGCTCTGTCTGGTGGGGCCATGGCTAAGGGGACAGGAGCTTGACTGTAGGGGCTCTACTGTAGAGATAAACCTATTTATTATAGAAAACTACCAAGACATTTGAAACTTACATCATCATGTGTGTTTTTGAGCCATAGTATCAATGCACACCTCATGTTTACACTGTAGAACATAACAATTGTACTATTTTTTTGTTTGTTTGCTTTCTCATCTGTTAAATTTACTAATCCTAATCTAGTAACACTTATTATTCCCTGTATAATACCTTAGTTACTTAGGTAAATCCAGTTAAGATCAACGGTAAAATAAGATAAATCCTACTACCTGAAAAGTTTGTTACCCCAAAATGTTTGCCAGCATTCTTAGCGGTTTTGTTTATGTTTTATTAACTCAGATTTTTCTAATTTTTCATTTGTTCTCTATGTATAATGTTATTTTTAAGTCATAACATATTCCTCATGCTAAAATGCAAAGTCTGGATGTATTTTACATCATCATGATGGTGTTTAGTGTTCAGATTTACCAGCCATGAATGACATCAGGTGATAAATATCAGCCCAGTTTTTGAAGACAATAGACAGGATACATGAAGCCATTTGAGTCATTAGAAATCTGTGACTCTTGTCTTGTCTGAGCTGTTAGTTCATTACTGTATGAACCAGTTCATTTAATATAAAGGAGTTGTTTCAATTGATACCAGTACATTAAACAGGGATGAGTACTGGATTCAAGTTAACTGAACTAATTTAAGATTAAGCAGAGCTTGAAAAAGCAGAGCACTGCAAACTCAGTGGAAACCATTTAAAGTGACTGGGCTGTTATCTAAGCTTGAACCTTTAACTGTACTTAATTTTTTAAGGCTATAAGTTTGCGTGATTTTTAAGGTTCACGGATGCGCAGCTCATTGTTCAGCTGTTAAACTGAATGTTGGCAGCGGAAGCTAATTGCTTTCTGAATTCTGATTGGTCACTTTATTTCCATTATTGGCCCATTGTTGTGGAGGAACTCCACAGTTTGGTGTCTTTGTTTCATACTGAGGCTCTACTCCAATGCTGCTAGTCAAATTAAAGCTGCATTCAAAACACGTGAGCAAAACGACATGCATGCAAATCATTCACCAAGTGCACAAGTGCACAAAAACGAAGTGCTGTTTTAACTTTTAAAACGTGACTAACCTGGCTGCCTTAAAGCTGTGAGTTCATTGCAGCTCCACCATTGAGCTGTACTCAGTGTTGGGCTGTAAATAGTTTGTGCTTCTCTCAGCATTTTGAAATTATATTAATTTTACTTCTACTCAGGCATATTTGTAAGAAAGCTAAGCTACTTTTCCATCAGTTACGATTAACATTTACTTTCTAAGCCATTTTTTTGGTTTTAATATTATTCTGTTGTCTTGGTTTAGCACCAGTTCTGCTTTGCTGTTGCTCACATCTCTCACTCTGGAGCTTCAGCATGTTATTTTATTTTAGAGTCCAACACACTTCACTTCCTATGCTGATAGATGCTGAGACGTTCCACTGCAGCAGTACTGTGCAAAAGTCAGACACCGCCCATCATTTGCTTTGTTTCCAGTTAAAACGTCCACAAAGTACAAGTTATTCGTTTTTCAGCTTCAGGAAAAAACAGAAAACATGCCTTCAACAGAACATAGTTTTAGTGTATTTAGTGTTTGCCTTTATTATAGCTTCCATTCTTTTCAGGAGACGTCAGCTTTTCAATTTAATCTGCAGGGATATTTTTCCACACCTCAAAAGTTCAGTCTTAGAAGTTGGTTACAGTTTCTGCTTCTCATGACCCAAGAGATGTTGAGGTCTGGACTCTGAGGGGGTCAGTCCATTGTTCCACCACCAGCTTCTCTGTTTGATTTGCAAAGTTTCCTCCTTTTCTCAGTTAGAGCTTCTTGTCAGCTACACATCCTTTCAGACCCATAGCGTTGAGTCGTTTTCTCAGTGGAAGGATGGCTGTGGATGTTTTCAAATCTGAAGCAAGAGTGGAGCTTGATTTTCTCCTCTCTCTCAAAGATGAAAGCTTTTAGTGCTGTTTACCTGATGGGGACAGTTTTGGTGGTCTACCAGGTCTTGCACAGTGGTCTGGAGTCCCAGTTTCTCTGTATCTTTTAGTCAGTTTTCAATCAGTCAAGTTCAGTTTTAGAAACTCCTGTTTTTTTCACATATTTTTCCTTTGACTTTCCCGGATTATGTTGTATCGACTCTTGTAATAGCTTGTAAACTTACTGGGAACTGAATACATGAAGGGTGGTCTCTGACGTTTCTGCAGTGCATAGGCAACTCAGTACTGCGTTTTTGGACCTTATATGTTGGATTTTGGTTCTAATGAATGCAAGTTAACTTGAAAAAAGAGAAAACATGAACACAAACCGAACGTGACCTCTGTGCACTTCATCTTGTGCAAAGTGCACAGTAAACATATGCATTCAATTTTTAGCCACAATACATTGCCACTATTAAATTTAATATGGGAATGAAAAAAGACACATATGTTGTAACTGGTCTAAAGTGATGAACGTTTTCCTAAATATACCCTGGATGGTTATCTAGCAGTGCCCATTGTAATTTATTTAATTGCAAGTCATTTTTATACTTTTATTCACAATTAAATTTGAATTTCTCAATGTTTTGTTAATAATCCGCAGCGCCGCGTGACCAAAACACTGGATTTATTATGATAATTAAATGAAAAGTCATGTTTTTAGCAAATGGGTTGATAATTTGTGCTCATGCAAGCTCAGAGAACGTGGAATAAAGGAGATTTACAATTCAGCTTTAAATTAACAACAACTATTATTATTATTATTATTATTATTATTATTATTATTATTATTATTATTGATGACGATATTTCTCCAGGCTCACCGGTCGGGAGCCCTTACTGTTCTTGCCCAGTCCGCACCCCCTGGATCCCCCCAGCGGCAGAGCGCATGTGAAGCAGTGCGAGCAGTTGAGCCTCACACGCCGTCAGAAGCGCGTGTGCCGGAGGGAGCCCGGGCTGCCCGAGACGCTGCGCGAGTCCGTCCGCCTCAGCCTGCTGGAGTGCCGCTACCAGTTCCGCAACGAGCGCTGGAACTGCAGTCTGGACGGGAGGGGCAGCCTGCTGAAGAGAGGTGAGGGGGCAGGAGCCGCACAGAGGTTTAAAGGATTACAGGTTACACAAAAATAATATAATAAAGAATAAACGAAAATACAGAACTTAAATACCAAATATGTACTTTACAAATGCACATACAATTACATACATTACATACGCAAAGTATGTAAATCCAAAAATTAAACTCTTCCTTTTATCAACATTAGACTTAACAACTTAGAGAAGTCTTGGCAGCCTAAAATGGCAGCATTTATAGCGTACGTTTTTATTTGTTTATGTCGTTCGTTTTTTTTTTTTGTGCGTGTTTTAATTTTGACATTTTTGCTTTTTTACTAATTCATTTATTTTTATTAAAACTCTTTCATCGAGTTAATATATTTAAAATATATATTTAAAATATTTTTTTATTTAATCTGCATGAATCTCCATACAAGATTCACTCTGATCAGCACAGGAGGTAAGACACCACAAGCCAATCAGAACGCAGGACGCCTCTTCAGCAGCCAATCGCTGTGTAGGAGGCGGGCTTTGAATGTGAATATGGGCGGGAAAAAAACGGTTCCTCGCGGGGCGACTTCAGAAGCCTCTTAGCCTATTTTTAGCTAAAGGGAGGAAGAGCGCCGGCTGAGAGAGGAAGAGGGCGGACCGAGTGGGGACTTTCATCTCCGAAAAAAGAAGGAAAAAGAGTTTCTAGTCAAAATAACAATTAATTGGATCTGAATACACCCTAACGACGGTTCCGGGGTAAGAAAACAACAGTGCTAAAAGGTCGTGTGGGGATTAGCCCGCTGTGGCTAATGGTCATAGGTGTAAGCTAACGTTACTGAAAGCTAACCGACGTCCTGGCATTCAGTTAGAATATACAGCCTACAGTGGACAGGGCTACTGTTATTCTCTTAGCAAGACAGCTTAGATCCACCTGTTTTCTGCAGGGGTGGAAACAGTGCTGAAAAAGTACTGTTACTGTAGTGTATTGTTACTGTACTTGAGAAGTAAAGGATGGGCTAGTAAAGAAAATAACTCAAGTAACTTAAGAGTAAATGAGTAGTTTCATTAGAAAACTACTCGAGTTACTTTTTTGTATATCTACAATCACAACCTGAAAACATTTATGATTTGACTCAGTCAGCCTACATTATTGTAAATGATATGAACAGACAAAAACATGATTTTATGTGAGAAAAAAATGTTTTGAGTCCTGATACTGATCAGTTTGTGCTCCACTAGTGCACATTTACACATCTTTCTGTGAACTGTGTAAGGAACTGGGTTTACGTTAACTAGCCTCATACATTTCATGGTCAGATAATTATGTAAGGCTTCCTAGTTTATGTTTCCAATAAACTAGTTTAGAATCCCTGTTACTATTTGATCAAGTTTATTTTTTGACGACCTAAATTTTTTTAGGTTGTGTGAAAATTTTCTTTTTTTATCAAAACTTGTTTCGCTTGATTCGCTTGTTTTCTGATAACACAGGATCATGTGACATTTTGTAAAATGATACCACTTGTATGAATAGAGACCGCAATCAAAAATGTTTTTTTGTTCATTTTGACTGTTTTCAAAACATCAGTGAACTGAATGTTAGTCACCTGTAAAGTGTCTCTCATTAACCCATTCGTATCCCACAACCTAATTAGTGTGAGAAGGAAAAAAGGCAGCAGAACTTGTTCTTATTGGTCTAAAGCAGCGTTTCTCAACCCTGCTCCTGGAGTACCCTCTGCCATGCACATTTTAGTGTTTTCCTTCCTCCCAGCACACCCACGTCAACTCATGACGGGCTTGTTATGAGCTGATTAGTTGGATCAGGTGTGTTGGGAGCAGGGAAACACTAAAATATGAAGCACACGGAACCACTGGGCTAAAAGGATGTAAAGCTGTGTGGTTATCAGGGAGGGTCTCTGAATTAGCCGAGCATATCACTCAATGGTAAGAGGAGGTGGTAGGAGGGGAGGTGAAATGAGATTTTACTGGTTAACATTATTTTTCCCCACCTGCTGAGTAGCCAAAAATCAAACGACCATTTCAAGGTGGGGAAAAGTCTTTAAATGAGATGGAATAATGAACGAATAAGTTAATTTTGGTTATAACAACAGAGCAAAATGTTGTTAAATATATTTACTAATATATTATATTATAATATATATATATATATATATATATATATATATATATAATATTAATAAGAGCAGTGTTAACATATCACTAATAAGGAGTTTGTCTGTGGCAGTATCTCACTGTAAGACAAACATAATAACAATGTGTAGCAAGATGTAGAAGAAATAGAAAAAAACAAAATGGGGAAAGTACATTGTAAAAAAAAATCTTTTAACTTGAAGTAAGTAAAGTAAAATAACATGATAGCAAGTAAAACAAGATATAACTATGAATAATGATAGTATGAGAAGATATAAAAATGCTAAAAATATAAAGGGGAGTAATGCATGACCTGTTTTTCCCCCTAGCCTTTAAGGAGACAGCCTTCCTGCTGGCAGTGTCTTCAGCAGCGCTCTCGCATGCGCTGGCCAAAGCGTGCAGCTCCGGGCGCATGGAGCGATGCACGTGTGACGACTCTCCGGGTCTGGAGCAGCGTGAAGCGTGGCAGTGGGGAGTGTGTGGGGACAACGTCAAGTACAGCACCAAGTTCCTCAAAAAGTTCCTGGGCCAGAAACGAGTCAGCAAGGATCTGCGGGCGCAGATTGATGCCCATAACATTAATGTGGGCATCCGGGTGAGTGACATGAGCCGGGATCAAAGCTGCCCTCACTGAGTGGTTCTACATTACAGAGGAATCAGCACATAGCACACAAAAAAAAGAGATGTTACATTAACATTAACTCACTCCTTTAGATGATACACTAACATCAAATCTCTACTGAAAGCCAAGAGGAATGAGCGCTGGAAGAAATTTAAATTATGACTAATTCAAAGTTTTCTGACAGAAACTGACATAATAGTCTGAATTGATTTGATTCCAGCACAAAAAATCAGTCATTTTTTTACGTGTTTTTATAACTTAATCATAAGAGGCCAATCGTTGCAGAGGCTGATTTTGTATCCCTCCTATTTTCTATGTTTTTTATCTAGGGTTTAAGTTTCAGCCCACATATATCATTTTAATCAACACAAACTAAACTAAACAAGCAAACAAATGAATAAACAAACAACAGTGCCACTGTGAAAATAAAGGTAAATATTCATTGCTCTTGATGTGACCATGAATAGATGGACCTAGGGAAGCCCTCTGTCCAGACTCAGAACTTTTAATGAAGCTTAATTTCTCTCCCACCTTCTCTTCCTCTGCCATGATTTGAAGGGTGCGGCTCTCCCTGCCAGCAGCCTGAAGGAGACTTGTCTGAGTGGGGTGAGACAGGCAGGCAGGCAGGCACCGGCCGGCTCTCTGGAGCCAGGTGTTTCTTTCTCTGGCCCAGGCTTGCTGCGGGGGCCCTCTGAAAATTAGAGGCCTCCCATCAGGACGATTATACCATGAAGAGGCCTCTGTAATATACGAGCATTTTTTCCACATACTGTATGCCTCCCGCACGCTGATTTGAGCACTGCTGCCACTGCGCTCAAAAGACTTCCATAAATCCTCATAACATCTTCCACAACGGGCCTGTAACCAGGAGACAAGCTGCCTCAGGGAAAGAGAGAGAGACGTAGAGAAAGAAACAGTGAGGGTGAGAGAAGACAGTGCTGATCGGTCTCGGGTTCTGCTGTTTTTCTGAGTTTACACCTAGGGCCAAAAACAGTGTGGCTGAATTTTTGTTGTCTTCCCTTCTGTTTGTCTCTCTCTCTCTCTCTCTCTCTCTCTCTCTCTCCCCCTTTCTCTTTCTCCTTCTGTCTACCTCTGTCATTCACTTGGAGGGCCCCTTGAATCTTACCCACTTACATCTCATAAGTGAGGAGTTCTTCCTGGCCCCTTTCCCACCCAGAAGACCTCTTTCAAGTCTAGGCCAAGTAGATACACTCTTGACCTCATATTAAAGTAACATTTTGCCAGGAAAAAATATTCTCCCCGTTACCCCAGTTGTAGAGTACTGTGCAAGTCAGAGACCACCTTTCAGTTATTTGAATTCCAGTCAAACTGACCATTATGGACAAGTTATTTATTTTTCAGCATCAGGAAAAAAGCAGAAAACATATTTAACAGAAAATTACACAGAAGCCCCAACGACTATCCACCCTTTTGCTTGTATTACGGCTTCGTTTCAGGAGGCTCGCTTTCAGCTGTTTAAAGACATCTGCTGGGACATTTTCCCATACCTCTGAAGTTCAGTCTTAGAAGTTGGTTGCATTTCCTGTTTTTCATGCCACAAATTATTCCACACACATTCAGTGTTGATGTCAGGAGTCTTTTTTGATCTTCTTTTCTTAGTGAGGCTTCTTGACAGCTACACATCCTTTCAGGCCCAAAGCGCTCAGTTGTCTTCTCACAATGGGAGGATGGACAGAAACACCTGTGGATGTTTTCAGATATGAAGCAGCTTGATTTTCTCCTCTCTCTCACAGATGAAAGCTTTAAGTGTTGTTCATCTGATGGGGACAGTTTTGGTGGTCTACCATATCTTTCACAGTTTTTAGGTGTCTCATTTTCTCTGTATCAATAACTATATTAATATTATAATTATTACTAATATTATAATTATTGATAATATCAATCATTTTTGGAACTACATTTTTAGAAATTCCTGTTTTTTTAACTATTTATTTTGAACGTCTACTTGTTATGCAACTAAATTATTTCATATCTAATCTCAGAAAAACCTCCTGAAGATGAATAATGTTTACATAATGGCCATATTGACTGGATATTAAATAAATGAAGGGTGATCTCTGACTTTTGTAGTCAATCAGGCAAGACATGTTTGGTTTCTGAAGTTAGCTGACATGTAACGGAAGCATATACCAATTAGCGTTATGCAAACTGCATACCTAAATCATCACACACTCACCTCAACGTGTTGAGTTGTTAAATAATCTTGAAGCGACTTGCTTATGTGGTTTCTGTTCTTTATGCGACACAAAGCTGAAAACAGTAACAGCAGCTGTCTCGAGGCCTGAATTCTGAATTTTGTCTGTATGTTTGTCCATTTTTAAAGATGATATTGTGACATATGTGTCATAAAGCACATAAACAAGTCTATTTAAGATTACTAAACACCTTGACTGAAGGGGAAAACTGAGTAAATGTTGGTATTTTCCATAGTTCAGAAAATCACTTTTATCCTTTATTAGTGCATCCGTTGTGAGGAGAGTCTGTCTTTGCAGAATATGCCTTATATTTGCCTTATGCTGTATCTGTCTACCTCAGGCAGTGCATAGAGAGGGAGGGACAAAGAGAGAGAGGCAGAGAAAGAGCAGGTCAGAGGTGGATGAAATGCTGTCCACACAGCCGTCCTTCTGCATCCATCATCTCCACCACATGCACCCACCACCGGTAGCTCAGGGCTGAGGAGTCCCACCCCATCCCAGAATACACACTAATGCGCACACACACACCCACCCACACATACCCCTCAGGAAAGTAACTTTCTGTCAGATAGGAAGCCAAGATAAAATCTTTGCTAATGAATCAGTCTGATCAGGCTGTCAGCCATACCATTTTTCCTTTCATTGACAGTATCCTCCTATGTTTTCCACTGTATTTCACAACTAGGCTAGTATGTTCATGTACATATATATATATATATATATATATATATATATATATATATATGTGTGTGTGTGTGTGTGTGTGCGTTTAATATATTAAGGAGAAGTTAATTTGGACAGCTGGTTATTTTATTATACCATGCATGAGTTTATATTATTTTTTTATGATTTCATGACTGTTTTTGTCGCTACAAGGTAATTTAACTGGTGCTTGGGTCAGTTTTGGCTCAAAACTTGATGACATAGGTTGGGTCAAGTTAGGTTCGGACTCAAAACTGTAGGTGCTGTAGGTCAAGTAGGATCGGTCCTGGACAGAAAGTTGTCAGAAAGTTTATTAGAAAGTTTCAGGCCCAGTTAAGGCTTTTATGCACATTCACAGTGAAGCATGATATAATTAATATGGCTGTTCTCATTGGGCCTCATTCTCCAATATCTTCCTAAGTTTGTTCTTAAATGTGTTCTTGAGAAAGATCCTAAGAAAAAGTCTACGTCGTGATATGTTCTTAAGGCACAGAACTGTTCTCCCCTTTGTGCTGTTGAGTGTGTGTAGATTCTGTTCTTATCTAAGAACAAATCCCAAATAAGAAAACATTGGTGAATGTCAGAATTTTCATTAAACTGCATAAGTGGGGTTTAAGAAGAATTTTCCTCCTAAGAACAGTTGGTGAATGAGGCCCAGTGCCGTTGAATCCCCCACATCAAACATGTATCCAATCAAGGACCATGTATGAAAGTGGCTCAAAGCTGATTAAAAATTATTAGAATTTTATCTTCACACAGATCTGAAGAAATCTGTCACATTTAGATAAAAAAATTGTGCCATTGTAATCCTTTAAAGTGAACTAATATGCAATTCTTTAATGTGTCATTTCATCCTCTTTCTCTCTCTCTGTCTCTCTCTCCCAGGCTGTGAAGAGTGGTCTGAAAACCACCTGTAAGTGTCACGGCGTCTCCGGCTCTTGCGCCGTGCGGACGTGCTGGAAGCAGCTCTCGCCGTTCCACGACACAGGGCCGTCTGCTCAAGTTCCGCTACGACACGGCCGTGCGCGTCCTCAGCCTCACCAACGCTGCCACCGGTGAGACCGAGCTGGCCGGCCCCCGTCGCCATGGCAACAGCGCAGTTCCCCGGCCCCGCCCCACAGATCTGGTGTTCCTGGAGGAGTCGCCCAGCTTCTGCCGACCGTCTCGCTACTCCCCCGGCACAGCTGGACGCCCCTGCGCCAAGGACACGAGCTGCGGCAGTCTGTGCTGTGGGCGGGGTTACAACACAGCCCTGCGCCTCACCACACTGTCATGCCACTGCCAGGTCCGCTGGTGCTGCCACGTGGAGTGCCAGACCTGCCTTAGAGAGGAGGAGGTGTACACCTGCAAGAAGCACTGAGACACTGTGTTTGCGATGGTGCCCTCATCACTTTTCCCGTCATTGCATCAGGAGCACTGTATAGAACACTATCGTAAGGAACAGAGAGGGTCCTATAATCACTATTTCCTATATTGAACAGTTTGTAGCACTACATAGAACACTATTATAGGGGACAGAAATGGTCATCTAATCGCTATTCCCTGCACTGGAAGAATCAGAAACATTATATAGAAAACTATTATAGGGAACAGAATAGGCCCCCCAGTCACTGCATGATGTCGAGCAATATAAGAAAAAAAAATTACTATTTTGTTAACGACACAGGAATTTTGGTCATCACTCTGCGACAGTAGTCACATTGCACCTCATTCGAAGCAGTGTATTATGAATATTCCATGTTCGCTAGGGTACATTGTTTAAACACTCTTGTGATACATTAAAGAATTGTATGAGTGCCATGGACACTCTCCACTATGTTTTCGGACGCCACTACAGAAGGGCTCCCAAAATAGTGCAGTGAATACAGTGAATGGGGCCTAGTTTAGGACAGAGCCAGGAAGAGAAGGAAGAAGAAGGGAATAGATATAGGGAAATGGAGAGGGACACTGAAAAACAGGGAGAAAGGAAGGTAGGGAGGTCTTTGGGTATAAGGATAGCAGAGAGAGCGCGAATGAACGACACAAACACGGAAAGAGAAAAACACAAAAGCAAAGGGTGGTTTTGAAGTATGAAAATCTGGACAAAGGTGGATGAAAGAAAGAAAAGAGCAGTGGGGTCCGCTCCTGCATGATTGCAGACAGTTCCAGGGGCTAAAAGAAGAGAGTTTAGCATCGCTCTCTCAAACTCTGGCCTCTCAGACAAGTGTGGGCAAAGTTGGACAAGGACCCCAAGGCATGGCTCACAAGATGCCTGTCTGAAATAGGAGTTGCACTCCTGCTGTCATAGAAGCAAAAAAGAAACATTGCACAAATTCCATGTCTTTTGGCTTCACTGAGATTGCTTCAAGTGGAGGAGAACCACTTATAGGTCTCAGCAGGACTGAACTTCTTTTCTCTTTTCTCCTGCTGAACGCACTGAAAAGAAAAAGGCCTTCCAGGATCTCCAGAGATGCAGGAGCCATGAACCATAATAGGTGCTCCTAGGACGAATTAGACGTTTGGAAAAACTGGCAACCCTGAGCAAACTGTAAAGGAGAATTCACCAGTGCCACAGTGATCCACTCATTTCTCTGTCTGTCTGTCTGTCTGTCTGCCTGCCTGTCTACCTGCATAGCTGTTTTGCTGCAAAAATCAAAATAAGGGTCAAATATTATGCTGAAATTATGAAGCACTTATTGTTGTTATGATGTGTATATTGTGTCCTTTGCTTGGTGGAGGAGAAAGTCATGTAACTGTGTAAACCAAAGGCATTTTATATAATTTTATCCTGTGGAAAAACTAGAATATGTGATGGAAATATGCAACAATATTACCTTTGATTCATTTTTAGCTATAAATTATAATAAAAAATATCCAATTGTTAATTTCTGGTAAATATTTAAAGGCCCATATAAAAGAAGCACATTTTCCTCACGTTTTTTTAGATTATAGTGTTTTATTTAGTGTGTAAACAAAGTTTCAAAATGCACTGGTCACTCTCCACCATACAGGCCAGTGTTTTTGCGAACCACCATATTTACATATATCCATATATTCATGTATTCAGCCTACAGCAGTTTAGCCCCGCCCATTCACATTGATGTTATAAGCAGTGTTTCAGCCTAGACTACTATTTGAATGAGGCACAACACAGGATAGCTAATCAGAGCAGAGATTTACAGTCATTTGCATCCTCTACAGAGAACACACAAATACGGCATATTGGAAAAATATAAAACATAGAATATAAAACATGCCATAACTTTTGCACAGGCCACATTTCATGTGTTATTGTTTCCTCAAATGTGTTAAATCCAGAAAATAAACAGTAATTTCGTATTAAAATGTGACAAAGTGTGTTCTCTGTAGAGGATATGTTAACTTATTTTCACTTCAACACAATCAATAAAACGTCATTTGACCATGGTCCCCAAACTTTTGCGTACAACTGTAATCAGTCTTAACGTCATGGCAACAAAAACAACCGGTTTAAATCTAAAGGATAAGGAGAGGTTGGAAAATGTTTTATGACTGTTTTGGGTACATAAAACCAAACAAATGTAATAAAGGGGCAAATATAACATAACAACAACGTAGAATATGGGCATTTTAAAGAAATAAGCTGAGTATTGTTGGTAGACGTGTTGGGTTTAATAATATAGCAATCAAAAAACAAGCCAAAGCCATGTAATGCGTAATTGTGACTAAGTGTTCATGAGCGAAACATGCATGAAAGAATGCAAAGGCCAGTACAGCGTGTTATTAGTGTGCATGTGATCCCATTCCCTACGGCTGTGTAAGGTTTGTAAACATGTGCCCAATTATTGTAGTGTCTTTATACTGCACTTTCCCATCAAGGACAAATGAGCACCTCTTTCCCAGAACAACGATCACCCTTACTTTCCCCTCCATAAAGCCCAACTCAGTCTCATCTGAGCCTCTTTCATGTCTGTTAAGTCTTTGAAACGGCTTCATTCCACCCCCTTATTTTCCCTATTACCAATCAGAGAAAATAACAGCTCTTACTCTCCTGAAACACTGCATTTCTCTCTGCCCTGGACTCGAAAGGTCAATCGGGGACCGCCCAACAAGTCTTAGTCACGCAGCTTTGATTGCATTTTTTCTGTTCTGAAAAAAAAATGTGACTTTTTTAATCCTTTTTAAATACATTGACAATGTCCTGATATGACTGGAATCCATCTATATAGCTAAGAGGTACTGAGTGACCCATTACTGCAGTCACATACTGAAACCCAGGCAGTTTCAATATTTCCCATAAACATTAAAATTCATATGCAAGCATTTTCAACAGTTAAACATTATCAGGCTCGAAGTAAGTGAGGGAATATGTGCCTACTTGTGCAATACTCTGTATGCATGCGCGTATATGTGTGTGTTGTCTGGACAGGAAGAGAAACTCCAGTAAAATTGGCCACATCAATCAACTTGAAGAAAGTCCAAGTTTCTAGTGTCATGGTTAGTGAACTGAGGCAGCTGGAACGTTTAAAAGAAAAAAAAAGTGGTTAGCTTCAGAAGACGGCCTAAAAAAGCTACATATGACATTTTTACTTTTCAGTTTCGTTAAAAGACGGTCATAAATCCTTTGCAAACATAGGTTTAGCAGCTTTCCTTTTTTTTTTCTTTAAAACATTTTAAGGCATAGTCCAGTTGGTTTATGGTATGATGATTACACAGACTCAAACAATGATGTCATGAACAGAACCAAAAGCGTTGTTTTTAAACTTTTTACTAACTTTGCAAATTGAATCTCTTTATTGTGGTGATGATAGGAACCAGGGGTCACAATGTCTACAATACTTTCTGTGAGGGAGCTTTTAGAAGTGGATGTTTGGTTCCTATCACCACCACTGAATAATTCTGTCTCGATACGTTTCTCTAGAATAGCACATTTCACATCAAACCACTCTGAATGACTTTATTTATAGCCCTGACCATTTAATTATGCGGAAATTTTGAAAAATCGGTGGAATTCCCCTTTTAAAAAGACAAGACAAGAGAGTTTTATTTTTAACATTGTGTATAAGTGAGTTTGTCTTCATCTAGACAAAGAGATACACCCATTGCTTCTTTCATTGAGGGAACACATGCAAATGCCTTCAGCCACAGCTGAAGGTCAGCAAAGCCAAACTCAATCCCTTCCTCATCTGTATGTGTGTGTGAGTGTGTGTGTGTGTGTGTGTGTGTGTGTGTTTGCTCAGATTGTAACACTTTAAAACATACAGTGTTTATATCACTATACAATATCAGTGATCAAAGCCAGCGACAGCAGTGGGTGGAGTAGCAGTAGCTCAGTATAAGGGAGGTTTTGACAGTATAATGTTTCACGTTGAGCAAGGCACACTTTCTCCTGGGGGACTTTTTCTACCTCACCTGGCTTTAGGGGGAAAATAACTAAAATAAAGATATATTCAGTTCTCAGTAGATATTTAAAACAAGAGCTTTTAATCTTAACTTAATATACATTGTCTCTGAACTGGTGTATGATGGCCTTATGACCTTTTTTACCTTTGTGGCCTTCTCGCTTATTTAAAAGTTACTGTACCAGACTCAAATAAAGTTTATGTAAACCTTTGTAGAAATTGATTTGTACTGTTTGGCTCCTGTGTCTCTCTCTCTCTCTCTCTCTCTCTCTCTCTCTCTCTCTCTCTCTCTTTTGCTCTATCTCTCTCTCTTTGTGGTTGAACACCTGTCCCAAGTTTCTCACGTGAGCGATTTTAGTTAAATGAGTGCTCATTATACAGTCTGCTGAGGGAACAGTGACCAGCATCTCTGATCTCTCTCTTTGTTCACAGGAGGAAAAATTGGATTTGTCCACATGGCGAGTTAAAAATCTGATTTGTCTAGTTAGACTGTAGTTGCATTTGATGGTGTGTCTGTTTTATCAAGGGCCATTCTAGTACTTAACTTAGCTTGAGTGATTATTAGATGAGCCCTCAGAAGGGCGAGGGATCGAGTGATTGGATTATTAAGTGCATATAAACACACTCACTCAGTCACAGTCCAGAAATCTGAATTGAATCGGATTTGAAGACGTGTACAAATGTTATGGATAAAGTACTATATCTGTGTCCATAGTAAACAAAAGACATTTTATATAGCTTAAATAAAGTGACACGGTCACGTCCAATGAAAAACTGGCAAGCTGGTGGAAATAAGTAACAGTTTTACTGTATAATTCATTAGAAAAAGAGTAAAAAAAAGTAAATATTTTAAGGGGCAATTCACCCAAAAATATTAAAGCAACTAATAATGAAAGAAACTGAAGAGCCTTCAGGAAGAATTATGCAAATAAATCATGCTAACTAGAAGCTGTTGGTTTTTATTCGCTGTTAGCCCTCAGCAATTTCAAAGGCTAATAATGAATGAAAGCCTTTTTATGAATTTTATACTCCTTTAAAGAAAGAAATGAAAGAATGTGGGTAGTGACTGTTTACAAAAGCAGGCAAGTAAATAATCCACTGTCATGTGGGTGTCGGTGTTTGTGTGTAAGTGTTGTATTACATGGTGAGACAGACTCATTCCCAAAGGCGCATGCAGAAAGCATTGGCAATATCAAAGCATTTTATTACAGTAAGTACTGTAGTTCTCTGACAGGAAGAGGTAAAGATTTGCGCAGTTTCCTGTATGAGATGCCACACAGGTATTAATTATGGTTTCACACAGACATGCAGAAAACCCAACATGCATCACAGGGATCTTCACACTAATTTCAGCCGATTATACACGCCACTCAGGACTATATACAGGCTGAGGAAAACACGCAGCTCTACTGAAACAGCATGTTTCAGTGAAGCTTTAAGTGAAGGGAAGATGACACCACCTCTCCATGGTACAAACTTCAGTTTGAGTTTTCTCTCAGCCGCTGGAGGGAATGTTTCAAAACTAGGCTTTCTGCTGAATTAGGCACGAGTAAGTATTGAGCGACAGGACATTTGCCTTTGCTATATTGACCTTTATAGCCTTATGAATCATGTGGGCCCTGAGTGGCTTAACTGTCAAATCACTGGTCCTATTGTCAGGAGTTTAATCCCCTGTGATGTCACCACTGTTCGTGGCCGGAAATCCAATAGAGCATAACTGCCCTCGTTCTCTCTACGTGGGTGGACAGTCCCTCTGCCTACATCACTCAGTGCGATGCTAGCTAATCTGGGTGACTGTTAGCTGACAGTTATGGAGTTAGCTACTGAATTGGCAGTTAGTGTTCTCCTCCAAGCGTGTTGAGCCGCCCAATGATTTTGCATTAGCGCAGTTTGAAAAGATGCAGTGCCGCTTAACATCTCAAAGGAAGCTTGTGATAGACTTCACCCCCCCAAGCTTGATAGCACAGGAGACCAAGGCCATGACTAAATTGGTAACTGGCCACAACTAAATTGGTGGGAAAACTGGGTCATATCCAAAAAAACAACATATATGCTTACACTAATCGGCCCCTTCACTGAGTACCTTGTATATACACTCCTTGTTTATTTTCATTTCATTTTATTTTATTAGCTCCGCTTATTATATAGGTGTACTTTGTAGTTCTACGATTGCAGTGGCGCAGAGGGTAGCGCTGTTGCCTCACTGCAAGAAGGGCCTAGGTTTGATCCCCAGCCGGGCGACCAGGGTCATTTCTGTGTGGAGTTTGAATGTTCTCCCTGTGTCTGCGTGGGTTTTCCTCCCACAGTCCAAAGACATGCAGTCAGGCCAATTGGACATGCTAAATTGCCCCTAGGTGTGAGTGTGTGAATCTGTATGTCTGTCTGTCTGTCTGCCCTGCAATGGACTGGTGACCTGTCCAGGGTGTATCCTGCCTTCTGCCCGATGATAGCTGGGATAGGCTCCAGTTAAGTGGTTTAGATGGTATGTGTGTGTATATATATATAGATTGCTGCTGTTGAACCAAAACCTTGTATCTCCAAAATGGTAACTTTACAGGAGAAGGCAAAAACATACTTTACTTCTAATTTTTTTCTAAAGTTTTACTGTTTTCCAATATTTTAAACTCAGCAAATGAACAGAATTTGTTCAGCAAAATGTGCAGAAAAATGTCATATTTAAATTTGTTTCTTAAAGAGGATGTATATATATACATATATGTAAGCATTGTGAATGTAATCATGTCACACATTTCTGCTCAATCCAAAAGAGTACAGTTGGTGTGAAGAGACTTTACCACTTCAATATAAAACGCAGTCAATGTATTTTTAGGTCATAAGTCAAACAACCCCCTTGGTTAATTTTTAAGCATGGAACATTAAATTACATTATATGACAGTGTACAGTAGCTGTCTTCATGAACGTCATGTGAGTGTGCTGTTTGCCAGTTATGATGATGATGGTGAGGATGATGATGATGAAGGGCTGCAAGGGAACAATATACACAGTTTTACTATTAGCTGCCATGGCCTAAAACAAAATACACACTCACAAATACAGTGTTGCAGTGTGTGTAATGTAGGAGCATGTGTGTGGCTGTTTGATGTGTGTGACAGTAATAACATGATGCTCGCTCTCTCTGCTAAAACTGTAATGACTATAATAGACATGAACTATCACACACTCTCACTGTCTGAGCACCTCCACACACAAGACCCCCCTAATGACTGTTTATCACCACTTACCTTTATTAAAGAGAGAGAGAGAAAGAGAGAGAAGGAGAGAGGTAGATGGGATGCAGGAGGTGCTTTCATGCCTACCAGACAGGAGGCACATCATGTAGCTGCTTTGTGGATAACAGTGATTTAGTGCAAAATTGAAAGTCTTTTAAAAAAAAAAAACCAAA